CCGGCAGGGGGGGCAGTTAGGAGCGATCAGGTTGGCAGGCAGAGGCAGTTAGGGGTGATCAAGCTGGCAGGGGGGCCAGTTAGGGGTTATCAGGCAGGGAGGCAGGTGAGCAGTTAGGAGCCAGCGGTCCTGGATTGTGAGAGGGATGTCCGAGGGGACCTGGATTGGAGATTATGTAGGCTGGGCTGAGACAATCCCCCCCACCTGTGCACGAATTTCATGCACTGGGCCTCTAGTCCTATATAATAAGACCCGAATACGCAAATCAACCAAACTACAGAACGACCGGTCATTGTGACGTGCACTGACCACCAGGGAGCAGACGCTCAATGCAGGGGGCAGCTCCTATGTTGATCGTGTGCCCCCTGAGTGGGAGGTGACCAGCAGCAGCAATCAGGGGTGGGGCTGGCCAGCAGATGGTGCCAGGCTGCCAGCCAAGGCCAGTGTCAGCGGGTGGGAGAGGGTGATTATCCACCTGCTGGTCCCCCCACACATGGTTCTGATTGCTGTCCAGGTCTAAGGACCATACCCTATATATTGGGAATAGTATCTTAGATTTAAAAATTAAAACCTGGCAAGACTACTCTAACACTTAAAAAACAGGATGATGCAGCGATGACATGCATGGACTCTGGCTTGCACATTTTGTCGTCAGCCCTGATTCTGACACTTATAACTGTGTGACAAAGCCAATTACTTAATTCTCTCTGCTTCAGTATTTCCACCCATAAGATGGGGGAAAAGGTAGTATTGCCTCAGAAGGATCATGTTTTGTACCACATTTTATAATCAGGTCAAACATATGTAGCTGCCCATACAACAGCAAGATGCCTTTCACCTGTATGAAAAGTATGGTCACTGGTGCATGCAGCGTTGGGTTTGCGAGAGGGATATCTGACTGCCGGTTTAGGCCCAACATCTCCCAAGGGGTCCTGGATGGATCCCCAGCCCCCCAGCCCCTGTGCACGAATTTCATGCACCAGGCCTCTAGTGTTGAATAAGAGTGGTACAAGCAGACATCCCTATCTTGTTCCTGTTCTTAGGGGAGATGGTTTTAGTTTTTGCCCTTTGAGTGTGGTGTTGGTTGTAGATTTGAAATATATGGCCTTTATTGTGTTGATGTTTGATCCCTCTATTCCCACTTCACTGAGAGTTTTTGTCAAAAATGTGTGTTAGATTTTGTCTAACACTTTTTTTGCATCTATTACATGTTCATGTGATTTTTGTCTTTCAATTTTTTTATGTGCAATATCACATTTATTGATTTATGAATGTTGCATCAGCCTTGCATTCCTGGAATAAATCTCACATTGTCATGGTGTATGATCTTTTTAATATATTGCTAGATTCAATTTGCTAATAATTTGTTGGGGATTTTAGAATCCATATTCATCAGGTATATTGACCCGTAATTCTCTTTCTTTGTTGTGTCTTTATCTGTGTGTCTTTATCTATAGTGTTGTTATATATCTGTGGAATTAGGATAATTCTTGCCTCATAAAAAGAGCTTGGAAGTGTTCTTCCTCTTGGATTTCTGAAATAGTTTGAGGAGTATAGGTGTTTTAGTTCTTATTTGAATGTTTGGTAAAACTCCCCTATGAAGCCATCCAGACCAGGGCTTTCGTTGGCTGGGAGTTTTTTGATTACTGCTTCTATTTCATCAGTTATCATTGGCCTATTCAGGTTTTCTGATTCCTCCTGATTCAGTTTTGGAAGATTGTAGTTTTTTAGGAATTTGTCCATTTCATCCACATTGTCCAGTTTGTTGGCATATAGTTGTTCAGAGCTGACTGACATAAACAACACGAAATGCATAGCTTGTCTTCAGCCAGCTCAGATCACCCTCTTAGATGACCTCTCTGAAGACTCGTCACTAGGAGAAGAACTGGGTGGTCTCTGGAATTTCTCTACTTCAACCCTGTTTCTCTTGCAGGTCAACAATGAACGGCTGTATCTCCCTTTGAAACTGGGTCAAGGGAAGATAAATATCTTTTCCTTTGGCTTCCACGTGGTGGTGGAGACAGATTTTGGCCTGAAGGTCGTGTATGACTGGAAGACCTTCCTGTCAATCACAGTCCCACGGACCATGCAGAACGGCACCTCCGGTTTGTGTGGCCGCTATAACGGCAACCCCGACGACGACCTGGAGATGCCCATGGGGCTGCTTGCATCCAGCATCAATGAGTTTGGGCAGAGCTGGGTGAAGAGGGACACCTTCTGCCAGGTGGGCTGTGGGGACCGCTGCCCCTCCTGTGCCAAGGTGGAAGGCTTCTCCAAGGTGCAGCAGCTGTGCAGCCTGATCCCCAACCAGAACGCGGGCTTCACCAAGTGTCACAGCAAAGTCAACCCCACCTTCTTCTACAAGAACTGCCTGTTTGACTCCTGCATCGATGGAGGCGCGGTGCAGACGGCCTGCAGCTGGCTGCAGAACTATGCCAGCACCTGCCAGACACAGGGGATCGCCGTGACCGGCTGGAGGAATTACACATCCTGCTGTGAGTCCTCCCCCTTATCTTGCCTTGTGTCTTGATTGGTGTCTACATGCCAGTCTTCCATCTCCATAGGCGACAGAGAAAACTGATTAGAGCGATTTAAGGATAAGCACTTTATAATTGAGTTTATTGTCTGAAACAACATGTATAACCTCCCAGAGCCTTCATGTCTTTATCTATAAGATTGAGTTAATATCACTTATTTCATATGTTGCTCTGAGGATGAAATAAAATCATTTACTTTTTTCTTTTTTAAAAAAATATTACTTTATTATTTTAAAAAACCTTTATTTTTCAGGTATGGTTGACATACAATATTATGTTAGTTTCAGGTGTACAATATAGTAATTAGGCATTTATATAACTTACAGAGAGATCACCCAATAAATCTATTACCCATCTGACACAATACATAGTTATTATAATATTTTTACTATATTACCTTTGCTATAATTTGCATCCCCTTGACTATTTTGTAACTATTAATTTGTACCTTTTAATCCCTTCTCCTTTTTCACCCATTCCCCCAAACTCCCCTCCCATCTGGCAGCCATCAAAGTGTTCTCTGTATCTATGACTTCATTTGATTTGTTTGCTCACTTATTTTGTTTTTGAGATTCCATATGTTAGTGAAATATTAGTTTGTTTTTTTCTTTCTCTGTCTGAATTATTTCATTCAGCGTAATACACTCTAGGTCCATTCATGTTGTTGCACATAGTAAGATTTCATTCTTTTTTAGGGCAGCGTTATATCCATTGTATATATGCACCATTTATTCTTTAGAAATTCATCTATTGATGGACACTTAGGTTGCTTTCATATCTTGGCTATTTTAAATAATGCTACAATGAACTTATGGATGCATATGTTTTTGAATTGATGTTTGGGGTTTCTTTTGGATATAATACCCAGAAGAGAAATTGCTTGGTCCTTCTTTGTCCCTTTTTATAGATTTTGTTGTAAAGTCTGTTTTGTCTGGTATAGGTATTGCTCCCTGAGCTTTTCTTGTGTTTCCATTTGCATGAAATATATTTTACATGCATTCACTTTCCGTCTGTGAGTCTTTTAATCTGAAGTGGGTCTCTTGTAGGCAGCATATGTAAGGGTCTTGTTTTCTTATCCCTTCAGCCACCCTATGTTTTTTATTGGAGCATTTAATCTTTATATTTAAGGTAATTGTTTACAGATATATAGTTATTGCCATTTCATTACTCATATTTTTAATATTTTTCCTCCTCTTCTTAAAGAATACCCTTTAACATTTCCTGTAATACTAGTTTGGTGTGATGTGCTCTTTTAGTGGTGTGTCTAGGTAGCTCTTTGCCTGTCCCTCAGTTCTAAATGAGCACTTTGCTGGGCAGAGTAACCGCGATTGCTTCTGGTCTCTTTGTATATTTCGTACCAGTCCCTTTTGGCCTGCAAAGTTTCTGTTGAGAGATAAGTTGGAAGCCCCTTGTAGGTAACTAACTGCTGTTCTCTTGCTGTTTTTAGAATTCTCTCTTTGTCTTTAACCTTTGGCATTTTAATTATGATGTCTATTGGAACTTTGGGTTCATCTATTTTGGGACTCTACACTTCCTGTGCTTATATGTCTATTTTCTTCACCATACTAGGGAAGATTTTCATCATTATTTATTCAAATAGGTTTACAATTCCTTGCTCTCTCTCTTCTTCTGGGACCCCCGTGATGCAAATGTTGGTACAATTGATGTTGTCCCAGAGGCCCCTTAAGCCATACTCATCTGTTTTTTTTTAATATGCATTTATTGATTTTAGAGAGAGGAAGGAAGAGAGGGAGACAGAAACATCTGTGCTGAGAGAGAATCATTGATCAGCTGCCTCTTGCATGCCCCCTGTTAGGGATCAAGGCTGCAACCGGGCATGTGCCCTGACTTGGAATCAAACCTGTGCTCTCTTGATGCATGGGTCAGTGCTCAACTACTGAGCCACACCATCTGGGCCATCCTCTTCATTTTTTATTGTTTCCTTTTTGTCTTTCTGATTGGAGTATTCTGATACCTTATCTTCCAAATTGCTGATTCTGTCTCTGCTTCATCTAATTTATTGTTGATCCCCTCTAATGTATTCTCCATTTCAGCTATTGTAGTTTTCATTATTGACTGGTTCTTTTTATGTTTTCTATCTCTAATTTTATGTTTCCTATCTCTTTGTTATTGAAGTTCTCTCTAGATCATTGAGCATCCTTATAACCTGTGTTTTGAACTCTGCATCTGGTAGATTGCTTGTCTTTATTTTGTTTAGTGGTTTTTTTTTCCGGAATTTTGTTCTGTTCTTTCATTTAGGTCATGTTTCTGTGCCTCCTCATTTTGACTGTCTCTCTGTGTTTCTATGCATTAGGTAGAGCTGCTACATCTCCTGTTCTTGGTAGAGTGGCTTCATGTAGTAGGTGTCCTGTGGAGCCCAGTGGCACAGTCTCCCTGGTCACCTGGGCCAGGTGTTCCAGATGGGTCCCTTGTGTAGGTGTGAGTGCCTTTCCGATGTAATTTATGGTTGGTTGATCTTGGGTGGTTGCTCAGGATGATTGTTTGTGAGGACTGGTCATGACTACTGCAGAGGAGTAGCTGGGTAGGGGCTGACCCTATGAAGCAGGATTCACTTCAGTAGGGCTCTGGTGGCTGCCCTCTAAGTGTATCATTTGTGGAGGTGGTGCTCTGGTGTGGTCTAAATCTGGCCACCCTATGTTGGTTCTGGGGCCTCTAGGTGGGGGCGCTGGTGCAGGCCAAGGTCGGTTGCTGCCTGTGCCCTGCTCGGGGCCACTGGTATAAGCCATAAAGTTATCTGCAGATGGTTGCCACTTGTCCTGGGCTTGCAGGTGCCTGGAGAGTCTAAACTATGAACTGAGGCTGCAGCTAGAGTCAGGCTGGGGGTTGCATATCAAAACATATGGGGCATTCTGAGGCCAGATGCTGCTTGTTTGGGGTTTGTGAAACTTTGAGAGGTTTTAGGAAAATCTCACAACATGAACCAACATAGCCTGTTTGTAAGGAAAGGCCCCCGGAAGCAGGTTGGGCGGACCTGCAAGTTGGGTGGGATCAGGTTTCAGGGAGTCACCAGGGCAGGACAAACAGCTCTCGCCTGGTTAGTGGAGACTCAGATATGATCCCAAATGCACGTGCAGGCTGGGTGGGGAGAGGGATCAGCAAAGGAACACAGCCTCTGCCAGCACTTACATCTGGGACAGAACTACTCCAGTCCTCGTCCTGAAACCAGACAGTTCAGTCCCTCCTCCTATGTCCCTGCCAAGCTGCTGCCCCAGCGCTGGAGCTTGGAGTGAGATGGTCAGTAAGTCCATGTGTGTCCTTTAAGAGAAACTACCTGGGACTCCAGCAGCCTCTATGTCACTCAGTCACAATCCCTGCTCGTCTTCACAGCCAGAAGTTACGGGGACTTCTCTTCCCAGCACTGGAGCCTTGGAGCCTGGTGTGGGACTGGGGCTCCTCGCTCCTTGGGGGGGATCCCGATTCTTATCTGCCACAGGTGGGTGTGGAACCAGCTCCGTCTGTCTGTCTTGATGTGGCTTCTTCTGTATGTCCTTACGTTGTAGGACTTCAGGAAGTTCTGAATGATGGCTGTTCTGTAGTTCAGTTGTAATTTTTATGTGGTCGTGAGATGCAGCAAGCACAGCATTTACCTGTTCCACTAGCTTGACCCAATTATTTATGTAAAACACAGAGCATGCCCAGCCAGTGTGGCTCAGTGGTTGAGCATCAACCAGGAGGTCACACGATTCCAGGTCAGGGGCGCACAGGAGGCAGTGATCAATGATTCTCTCATCATTGATGTTTCTATTTTTCTCTCCCTCTCCCTCTCTGAAATCAATAATATTTATATTTTTTTCAAATTCTAACAAAGGACCGATAGGGAACGAGTTAGTTAGTAGGTTAATTAGTTAGTTAGCTCTATTACCTCATGGGCCCATTGTTGTGCTGTTAATATTTAGGCCTTCTCTAGTGTGTTATTCTATCTATTTGATTCATATATGTCATGTATCAGACTCTGTGCTTATGACACACAGCAAGGTGTTGAGAGCATTAGAAACAGACTGAGAGCCCCTGGATTCTAGCCTTGCTCTATCCTTGGAGCATTTCGCTCTTCCTCCCTGGTTCTTAGTCTTCCCCCTCCCCCTGAAAATGCTGTGATAAAGCCGTTGTCTACACCCTTTATGCTACGGAAACATCAGGAGGATAACATTAGGTCGTTGAGAGCACAGCAGCACATTCTGCGTGCTAAATGGCATTCTTATTATATCAATGGCTTGCTCTGAGCCAATCCCTGTGCTGAACACTTCATCAGCATTATCTTATTTATTCTCTTCAGTGACCCAATTAGTTGGCAAAAACCCAAGACTCTGAGGAATTATGTAAGTTGCCTAAAGTTATTCTATCTCAGTGGCAGAGTCTGAATTTGACCTTTTTATCCCCAAAGCTTATGCTCTCAGCCCATACACTGTACTGGTATACTATGTACTGAAACAATTTGCCTTCATGTAACACATTGTACTAGGAAAAAGGCTGGAGGAGAAACCACTCTCGGTCTTGGGTGAACTGCCTTAGTGTGTTTTCCCCTCTCAGCCTCACCAGCTGCCCCAGATTTCCTTCTAGACTGAGCTGTGAAAAAAGGCTACAGGTTGATGCTGGATGCATGGGGCTCTAAATAAGTGATAAGCCTGGTTCCCGGAGAACACACTCGCTTTGCATTCTGGAAAAAGGAGATTTGGATGAAAACCCAGGAACAGTGTTATAGTTTCATACTCCCGCAGTTCATTTATATTCCACATAATGAGGTTTATGTAGCGTGTGGGAGGCAATGGGGAGAGGGAGAGAAATATGTTAATAGCATTTCATCCAGAATTGGCCCCAGAATGAGGCGCTAGAGTAATGATGCCAGGAGTGTCTGTCACACTCATTGGCCTCTGTGACTTCAGTAGAATAAATAGGCAACAAAAAACCAGGGTCCGGTAAACCCCGGAGCCGCCGTGGGT